TAGCCAGCATGCTGGCTAGAGAATTCTGGGAGTTGAAATCCACCCATCGTAAAGTTGCCACCTTTGAAAAACACTGGGATAGAGTCATTCTATTTTTAATTCATAGTTATTTAAGCCATATATTTAGGCACAGGGATGTCTGCAGGGTTGTTAAAAAAAGTCATGATCTGTGTGATCAAAGCAAGATTTGATCACATGGTCGCAGCTGCCATCTTCTTTTTTGACACACACACATCCCACAGATGCCCCTGTAAGACTCAGTGGGTTCTGTGGCATCTAGATCAAGGGCAGACAACATTCTTCCAGCAGCCATCAAAGTGGCCACACAAATATTATGCTTGGGAGGCATTGTGTCCCATCTGACCCTTATTTAATACATTTATTCATGTAATTTTGAATCCGAAACCCACATCCTGCATGATAAAACCCAACCTCTGATAGCAGCTGGATTTCCAAGAATGACTCTGGGTTCCTTTGGTAGTCTTATAAAAAATGGAGGGAGAGTTCCCGTACTCCCTGTCTGCTTTGTTTGGAAGTTGTCCCCCTCACCCCCCAAAAATAGAGGTAAACAAGGAGGCCAGGAACATCCTTATGAGGGTACAGGGGGAGGAACATCTCCTAAAATTGATGCTCCAGAAGATGCCTTGATGGAGGGAAAATCATTCTCTTTCCTCTTGGATAAGAAATTACTGACTGGCTACCTCCTCCCAATATCTATGCGAGTCACAGAGGGCTTCACCTCTTGCATGTATTCCCCATTGATGGGCTGCCTGACCAGCAAAGGCTTTGCCACATTTTAGGTCTTGCCAGGGCTGGCTAGCGCTGTTCCCAGGCTCCTCCAGTTCCCTTTAAGTAGCTTAGCCATGCTAAGCCTTCCTATGTTGTACAGAACATTTCTCCCCAGTCCTCAGTTCAGGGACCTCTAAGATGGTAGTTCTCCCTGCCTAGCGGCAGTTGCCCCAATTCCTGATCAATTTCAACATCACTTGAAGACCCACAATTTTGGGGCCAAACTACTGTTCCTGCTGGGCTGTTTGGTTGCAGTTGTCCTGCTCGTGGTCACCTTTTAAGCAGTGTTTCTCAAGCTTGGCAACTTTAAGACGGGTGGACTTCAACTCCCAGAATTCCCCAGCCAGCATGG